CATTGTGGAGTGAAAACTGTGGGAAGGTCATGTCACTGATTTGGAAGTATTTTGGATATTTAAAGCAAAAAAGTTAATCAATAAGTATAGATAGACTATCAAATGCTTCTATCATGGTATGTTTTTCAGTTATATCATCCAGTCTCTGATGTATTGCAAAATAAAACACAGAACCTTCTCTGAATATTTTAGATATTCACCAATAAACTGAGACAAGTCCTTCGTATGTCCTTTCTATTGCAGGTCCATTTTTATTCTTTGTAAGTCCTTCCACATCATGAGCCTCTTCCTGTGACGTTGTGGGTTCATTTCTGACCTTATTTGTTAACCTTAAAGCTGACTGCAATTTCCTATTCCCATCTTTTGCCAATAATTGAACCACCAGCTGTCATCTTCTCACATAACTTAGTGCGGATGGTGTCGTTTCCCCTTCCAGTTTTTTGCAGACCTAGTATCTTGTCGCTGACATGCTTTGACAGCTCTTTGGTTGCAACCGTGGAGGAAGGGAAGCTGGAAAGGAAGAAATCGATTTTGTGGAGATATGTGCTTAATGAACATAATGAGTTCAGCTCAGGAGAATCTCTAATTGATTGACTGATTGATCGTGCCACATGTGCACACAACCAATCTGTGGGAGCCAGGATGCTGACTCGCTTGTTGAGGATCAAACACTCATTACCCCCAATGACAGGAAGTGAAGGCTTTCATTATTTCTTAAAAATACATCTTAAATTTTTATTTGATGCCAACTGCAACTGTTATTATCATTAAGCTGCAAAGATATTAAAGTAAGTCGTTATTTTATCTTTACCTTCAACCCCAACCATGTTAGTGACTCAGCGGCCCAACACAATAAATGTCTGATATTTGGGATGTTGATGTCTTAACCATCTTGTGCTACTGGACAGAGACAAGAGCTAAAAAGCATGCAACATGAGAGCCTTCTGTGAAATCACTGTTAATTGATCACATTTAACAAAAAATGTAATCATAGACAATTAGTATACAATATAAGCAAGGACTTAATCACTTTGTGGTCAGCTTTAAGAAGTGACACCTCATTTTTAATGAAGAGAAGGAACTTTGGAAACAGCAGGAATGAGCTGAAGACCGTTTTCATCCAAATGGCAGTGAAAGCCTGAAATTACCTGGGGAAAAAAAAGCAACAGAACACATTTACCTTCTTGGTTAAACTTAATTCCTTCAACATTTGCAGCAACATGTTGTATATCTTCAGTAAGTAGTGCCATTTTCTTTGAAGCCATCTGCTGGAGCGAACCCATCAGAGCCAGTGACTTAAAGAAACGGAATAAGCAGATTAAGAAGACTGGCTCTGTTTTAGAGACTCACATAAAAGCCCTGCAGCTGACTGGAGAAAGAATAATGTTCCACAAGCTGCTCGACATAACAGACAACACAGCAAACCTCCATGTATCATGCTAATCAAACAACAAAGCACCTTCAGTCATGCTTGTTTGGTTCTTTTGTCATAACGATTGGTACAGGATGTCACTTATGCTTGCATAATAACTCTTCAATCATTGTTTTTGTTTGTTCATGTTCTTTCTTTGTTTGCTGCATACAGCATATTCAGTTGCAGCACACCTGTGGAATTGCCTGTTAATGCAAATCAACCGATCAGAGCTGCAACTCGGTGTAGTTGAGCATTTATTGCAAAGATGAATTGCTGAAGTCGAAATGGGAAAGAAAAGAGAATCTCACATCTAAAACTCCTGACACATCGGATTTTAACACATAAGTATCTTGAATTTAAAGAGAGGTGTTGTTTTGGCGTCAGCAAATGTCGCAGCAGATACTATGTGGTTTGTGTATCCTCACAACATCCTTCAGCCTGAATGCACAGAGCTCCAGCGCGCTTAATATACGTACAAACAAATGTGGGATATAGTGGAAAGGGGGGGATTAATATAAAGATATGCAGCCAAGAAATTTGCTGCAAATGTCTGATGCTTTTTTTCTGTACTTAGACCATTGTCTCTGAGGAATGTTTCAGGCACTTCCAAGTCTACTTTATGCCATGAAGAATTATCTGCTGAAAGCATCAGGGAGTTCTGCTGGCAGTGTGGACCTAATAAAATGGTGGAGAGTGTGTGTGTTTTATTCATAACATGTTTTTAAGCAGGTGAGACGACACAAGTTGTCTCCTCAATAAAATAATTTATGCTGATTAGGGCTTTATATTCCACAAGCAAGTTTATTGAAATAAAAAAAGAAGCATTTATGTTTTCTTCCACTAACTGAACAAATTAAAATCAAGAAAATTATTCTGCAGACTGCAAAATCCGGTAAGTTATGTATTCAGTAGTGCAAAAGGACTGGCCATGGCCAAAGAAAAAGAACATGTTAAAGGTGACAAGGCGGCTGGCGAGCGAACGCTTACTTGATTAACTTCTGCTCAGCTTGTCGATAAAGCTTGGACCAGTTCAGACAGATAAAATGAGGTCCGAATTTCTTCCAAACCAGATCTTTTCAAATATATTTAATCAGATTTGACTCACAAAACACTTTTTAACCTACAAAAAAATAGAAAAATTTGTAATCTTACCATTTTTAGAAATTACATTTGCAAAACAAATAATAGACTGCATCTTCTGCCAGGTAAACAGTGAATTTCTGTTTCATATGACAAAATATTAAGTATGCTTTTGTCCCTAATTAAGCTTAATCAAGAAAAACCTTTAAAACATAAGCACATTTTGTCTTTAAATGCTATGTCAAGGGATTTGAACACTTTTTCTCTACCTAAACAAAACAGTAAATAAATAAATAAATAAATAAATAAATAGCTTTGCTCTGCATTATCCCCCCACCAGCTGGTCATTCAGACGGCGCAGCTGAGCAGGTGCATCAGTTAAAATCTGCGACTGCACTGCGTCTGAATGTGAAGCAGAGCATTTCTGAAAAGGTCATGTATGTTCACTGAACCCCACCTGCTCGTTAGGTCAGAAAAAATTAAGTCTTTATGAAAATTATATCTCATTTTGTCACTTTGCAAAAATGTGAAAAGGTTGTGAATAGATGCCAAGCATTTTTTTGCAGATTATCATCATTTCCGTTGGATGTGGGTTAGCAGTAAAGGGCGCGAAATTATTCTGGTTAAACTCTATATGTGTTTTTTTTTCTTCCTTTCATTAAAAGCAAACCACCAGGTGGTTCTTGTTCACTATTTAAAAAACAGATTCTCTCCCCTTAAGTGTTCCTGTCACTGCAAGCAAGAAGTACTAAGATTGCTAATAAAGTCAGGGCTATTTTCTAATGAGCTTTCTTTCTCCTGCCAGCTGTTAAGAACATTCACACGACACACAAAACCTTTTTCTTTCGCATAAAACCACCAACTTCAAAGTGTTTTAATTGAATAGATGTGATGTAAGACCAACACAGGATATCATGATTTCATCATTGTGAAACGAAAGGGACACAAAAATAAATCTAAAAAGTGTAGCATGCATTTGTGATCCTCCTCTTCTCTCATTTCCGAAATACAACCCAGTGCAACCAATTGCCCACAAAATTCACCAAATGTATAAGCAGAGTCTAGCAGTGTGTGATTTAATGTGGAAATAGAAATGCTTCAGACACTTGTTAGAGAGTAGCATCTGGAAGATCAAGGAACAGATTGTTGATAGAGTTGTTGAAAAGTGTAAAAAAAAAAAAAAAAGAAGAAAAAAATAAAAAGGTATAGGTTTAAAACAATATAGTTCAATAGATGTGAAAATGAAATGACTGAGTGTAAGACAGCTGCAAATCCATCAAGACATTTCTGTTTGCCTTGAATGATGGGCTGGGAAAGATAAGGAATTTATCAGAGAAGCAGAAAAGTCTTATTTCTGAAGGAGCTTCAGAGCCGTTTGTGGCAAACTGTTCAGTTTTCTACAAACTATTTGGGGGGGAAAAGAAGTGATTTGATCAATTTAAACCAGAATTGAAGTTTTTTTACATGTATGCAAAACATGAAGTGGAAAACTAACACTGAGTGTCATCATACGCATGCACTGTCACCAAGGTAGCCATTTCATGATGAGCATCATACTGTGGGAATGTTTTTTTTTACCTGGATCCTCCAGCAGAAATTCAACCCTAAATGCTGTTAGCAATACAAGTGGCTCAGAGCAAAGCATATTAACGGGTTAAATATGTCTACAGATGCTCTCTTTTCAGTTTGGCAAATGTTTTTTTTTCTTATTGATAGTCTTAGAAAGACTACTTTGGTTACTTATGACATTTTTTTGATATAAAATGTAGAAATGATTTATGACTGGAAAAAAAAAGTAGTTCTTTGTGGCACCTTATGATTTTTATGAAAGCTTGAATTCTTTGAATCGTGGTCTTTTGACCTCTCCTGTGATCAGACTTTTTTTTTTCTTCCTTGCGCATAAACATATCTCCCTTGTCAATAGAGCTATTTATAGATTTTTCTCAACTGCTTGTCTTTTTATCATCTGAACAATCATACGGTAATTGCAACCAAATATTCACACACACACACACACACACACACACACATAAAACGGCAACTTTCACTCACTCACTGACATTAAAACAGAATAGCTTGGTCACTTAGGCTTAATGAAATTATTTCTATTTAGTACATGTTAATTATTTTTATCCAAACTCAGATTTATCATTTCCCATGGTGTTTTGTCTTGCAAACAGCACACCTGGGGATAAAAAGTTTTGTTTCCCTCCACAAGCTTTCGGCAGTAGTTTGCTAGAAATGTGGTCCTTTCTTCCCTAGAGAAATTTTGTGGCCGAATTTGGTTTGCTCACAGGAAACTTCAGCAGGGACTGGGACGTTGCTCCCAGTTGATAGAAATTTGGAAGAATGTAAAACTTGAGGCAATCCTTGAAGAAACCCGGGACAGAGGCTAAACCTCCAACAAGACGATGCCTCCAGTCCAGAGCATTTGTCCCTGTCTGCATTTCTCTTTGAGACAGATTCAGACATTATTTCAGGGGGAAAATAAAGAAAAAAAACAATAGATATTTTCAGCTGGGTTTACTGCTCAACAGCTGTGCTTATGGCTTTTATTCTTGTGTTCTCTTTACAACATACAGAGTCAAAAAGATGTTAGCATCCTTAAATTATTATGAGCACTGGAAAAAAATATAAGAAGCTCCAGTCATTTCAAATCAAAATGTTAATCAGAGACTATAGCTAAAACAGTTTATATTGCATATAAATAATTTTACAAGGCATGCAAATACTATTCATGTTATGTCAGGCATCTGTGTGGCTTTGCTTTGAAACAAGAAAACATTCTAATGAATCCATTTGACTGGATAAGAAACAGCGATTTCAACACCAGCTATTTCTGTTATGAATTTTCAGGGAAAAGTTCAAGTCTGCACTATCTTTCCTGCATATCAAGCTCGCAGATTACGATCCATCTTTGGCTCAGGGTTGGGATGGAGCACCTTTAAAAGAAAAGCTCTAGGGGGAAGAGCAGACTATCTGTAGTGATACATACAGATTTTTTGGCAGGGTTTAACAGGCAAGATAAGTCTCTTCCTGCAACGCTTTGCTTCCACAGCAAGCACCTTCCTCTGTGGTTTTTCTTTCCTCCCCGGCCGTGGAGTAATAAATCTGAGGCTATCCGCTCTCACTCTCTGCACCACAACCTCAATTTTCTTCCATCAAAATTCACCCAAGAGTCAGCCACACAGTACCTGCCATAACACACAAGGCCAGAAATATAACGGCATATTCTATAGAGTACTATTACATTTCTTCCCTGCTTTGGTAAACATTGTTTGGAATTATAACAAATATATTTTTTAAACACTGTAACACGAAACACATATACATAAAACGCGGACATTTGCGACCAGAAGAGAGTTGGCTTGAAAGAGAAGTTTCTGTTTGACGTCTTGAGTGCAGGACTACTCCTTGGCCAGAAGGGGGCGTTGCAATGTGTTTAGCTTTCAAACCAGCAAAAAAAGGAGGGAACAGCAGGGTCAGGGACAAAAGGGAAGCGATTGGTGATCATTTAGTACCTTTGCCATTTGGTAACTTTGCAGTTTGGGTGGTTTCGTACCAGATGGACCCAAAAGGACCCATCTGGTCCAGGACGTTTCACACCTACTTTGGCAACTGATAATTTGAAGCAGTTCACTGTCAGGGAGGAAATTTATTGTATTGTTTATCGTAATCCATGTTTTATTATGATAATAATTTGGATTCATCACTATGATAAATTCCAGTTAATGATGTTTGAAGCTTTAAAATAGTTTGTTTTGTTGGGATTGTTCGCTTTAATATTTTTTCCCACAGTTTATCCACCGAAAGCCTGAATAAAGATCAATAAATTTGAAAATATGACTATTTGCTGTGACGATTCGCAGTTTATTGACATAAATTACATTTCTGTATGTGAGTAGGGACCTAAAGAAGCATATTACAAATAGGAATGTTTTTGAGGCATCATATGTTTGCTATAATCGCTGTGACACTCAAGTCCCTCAAAAAAGGGTGTGTATTTATCTTATTGTTTACAATACAATAAATGTAATAAATACTGTAAAAGAAATCAATAAATAGTTCTTATTGTCACTTTTATTGCTATATTACCACAAAAAATTGTGGGAAAACTTTAAGTCCATTTTGCCTACTCCGATTTTTACTGTAAGATTTTACGATTCCAATAAATAATATATAACAGCAAAATGTCAGTGAGAGTTGATATTTCATTAAAGTCTGCAGTACATTGACATAAAGGTTGAAATATGAAGTCATCTGCAAACGATACAATACATTACATATATAATTCAGTATTTTGAATGGTTTGTTTGCAGGTACTAAATGACAACAGGTACAGAATGCAGATGTTGAACTGAGACTTGGGGGGGTTGGATGTCTCGCCTCCGGTGTGTTTGAAGGGCAAAGCGGGAGGGCGTTGTTCGTCAATCACTGGCAAAGATGGAGGACGGCGCGGAAGAGACGCCTGCCTCCGAGTTTGGAAAAGAGAGTAACGAAGACGCAGAAGAGGAGGAAGGACGGATTAGAGTGAAGCATTGAGCTGTAGGCCTGCCAGTCAGATAAGGAGCGGCTTAAAGAGTAGATTGGATTGTGTATAGACCTTTTCAGTGGGGGAATAACGCGGCACGGACTCGGTAGACGGCAGGACAGGGAAGAGATAAAGGGAAGCCAAAGACATTGAGGACAGAGGCAGCGAAACTGGGGGGAGATGATTCCCAAGATGGGGGCAGAGATGAAGTGGAGGAGGCGGTGAGAGATATCATGTTACCAGCACACGCGAAAAATAATTAGGAGAAACGTGCGAGTGGATTAACTGGACCTAAAATAACCCGGGAGCTGCACCTCTTCCCGGTAAAACTCCTGAGAGCGTCCATCCGCCGGCCGCTGGAGGCCGTGACGTCATCCCAGTTCCTCAGTCACTGGCCGTTGAGCCGGCCGCGGATTTTCTCTCAGGCACAAACGGGAAGGAAGATAAATAAATAAATAAATAAATCACCTCCACCTCCAACCCCCCCTCTTGGTTGGAAAATGTGCAGCTGTTACTGTAAGCCTGCGCTCTCTGATGGAGGCCAGAAATAAACCCCCTCCAGCCCTCCAGCCCGGGCAGCGACACAGCGACAACCTCCATTAGCTCAAATGCGAGAGGATTGAATCACCTCCGAGCTCCGGGGCTTGAACTTCTATCTGCGTCGGCTGAGAGCAGGAATCATATTTCTCTCCGGCTACTGGTCTTCCTCTTCGTGAAGTCCAGTGCGCGCTGGCAGCTCCGCTCCGTGGACGTGATTGAGTCGTAAACATTAAAGTGAAGGGGGGAGATCCTAAACACACGAGGGCTGGTCTGTCGAGTTATGTGCATAGATGGGCCTTAAAGACTTTTACAGTTAGCCCAGTGATCGCAAACGCCGTCTTTGATGAGGCGTCGTAAAAATTATTTGACACTGTTGCACGGTGAAATACGGGGTGGGGTGGGGGGCTGTTCTTACAGCCAGTGCTGTCTTGAGAGAATACAGATAATGGAAAAAAATGGGGGTTGCATCAGGCTGGGCAGAAAAAGAGGGAGCAGACTAGAGGAGTGGAGGCAGTCATGGAGAAGTCAGACCTTTAACTACAGGAGCAAGAAAAAGAGGGGAAGGAAGAGAAAGAACAGGACAGAGTGGTTAGCATATAAATCACTTCTGTAATTTGAATTGACAAGAACGTCCAGAAATGTATTGGAATAGGAGGGAGAAATGGGAAGGGACAAGGGGTGGGAGAAAATCAGAAATCAGCGTAAGGAGAGAAAGCTGGAGTTTGACACATCGCTTCTGGAAAGAAAAGGGAAAAAAAGAGCAAATTGGCTTGTCCCCGCAGCCAGGGACTTGTGATGCGTATCGGACGCACTGAGAGAAAAAGCTTTTTCAGTGGATAGGATCACAATGAAAGGAGCCAGAGAGGCAAAAGCCAGGGAGCAGCCTTTTTAGATTTTGTTATCAAGCCCGGGCCGTCTCGGGGTCTCGCTTCAAATGGCATATCTTATGACCTAACAAAAGCAGTCAGGGAGCCGGGCCCGTGTTAGAGATTATCGTGACATCTGGGCCCACGTACAGTAGTAGTGTCTACATTCTGTGACAAGAGCAGATATGATTTAATATATTTATTCAGAGACTCAGGTGCTGTAGTGCTGGATGTAAAGTAGGTTTGTGGTTTAACTCTCTTGTTATTTGAAGGTGAACCATTCGGAAAGACGGGAGAGGAGGCCCGGCGGCGGCGGCGGCAGCGCCGACCTCTTGGTCCCTGCCTCACCACCGGAACCTTCCTCCCCGTTTTGCCGGGTCAGCTCCAGCTCAATGGTCATAAGCACCCGACTGGAACCCTCTTCGCCGCCGCCTCCACCCTCCCTCTCCGCCCCCTTGATGATGGTTTGCTGCTGTTTCTGGTCGGGTCGGACCTTCGCCGCCAGTACCTGGCGCAGGGGCTGGAGCAGCCCGCCCCAGCCCTGCCCCGTATCCTATTTCTTATCCTTGCGAGACTCCTGCTTCTTCTTTTCCGAGGCGGCCGCCTTCACCTTGGAGGGGTCAGCAGGAGGCACGGGGCCCTGTGGGCGGAGGGGGAAAAAGGGGGGAGGAAACAAGGGGAGGAGAGTCACTTCAGGAGGAAAGGAAGGCAGCAGGAGAGGACGTGAGAGAGGTGAGAAGATGAGAGGTGGAGTTAAACTGGACGGGCGGAGCTGTGTGAAGAGAGGAGAAAAACACATTTAGAGAAGGGAGAGATATAGATGGTCTAGGTGGGGGTGGGGGAGTCGCAGTCCTTTTAGGGGAGGGGGTAGCAAGTGAGAGGGGGCGGTGTCCAGAGCTGTAAGGGGGTGACAAAACAGGTAACCATGCGTTAGGATGGGACACAGTGGCAGGCAGACTCCATACACCTGTGACAACTGAGTGACATGTGATCAATAACACACAACCATCTCCCCCCACACACACAGCCAGAGTGGGTTTTCACAGAATCTCAGAAATGCAGGGATTATATGGAAGGAGATTTTTTAAATACGGTTGGAGGGCAGCTGGATTCTTCTGATACTAGACATTAATCATGTTTCTGGCTGCAGACGATTGTTTCCAATTAAACATCTGGGCCCAAAACATCAATTTTGATAGATGTTAGGATGCAATGAAATGGGTTTATTTCAGAAAACTGTCATGGAAACACTTTTTTCACATCACGCGGGTCACATGATCAACAACCAGTTGTTACTGCTGGTGCAAACCAAGAAGACGAAAGGAAGTAGTTAGAGGATGATGGCACGGCAAGTTACTATTATTTTTCACTTTTTTAATGTGAGATTTGAATCCATCTCTATTTTTAATTCAAGCAACATTGGGGTAATATCCCGATAAAGATCATGCAATCATGTTTATTTCTAGAAGAAATTATTTTTAACCAGTTTGGATTCCTAATTTAAAAACAATCAGTGTGTTATGTTCGCATCAGTAATAACAAGAATGTGTTTTTTATAAAAAAACAAACAAACAGAAAAATGGCAGGTAAAGAATAGAAGAGAAAGGATGTTCTCCATTCCCTAAAACAAGATTCATCTGATTGGCTGATTGAGAGATTCAACCAATTATCTGCCATGTTTTCATTTATTTTATTCTCTTTAAATTGCTTGCACTTTGTCAAACGTCTTAGACATCCCAGATGGTTGAATGTGTAAAACCATCTGCTTTCTCGGATTGGGATAATAGAAGTCTCCAGTGAGCAGGAGCATGTTTACAAATGTCTGAATTTCCATTCGCTTTGGTCTCCTGTTGTTTATGGTGAATATTTCAATTTGTAATTTAGGTTTTAAAGTCAGAGCGACTGTTGCAAACACTAGCGCTACGTTGCAGGGCACTTTAACAAATAATTTTAAAATTAAAAGTTTATTGTGCATTCTTAAATTCAGAGTGAAGCAATTAAGAAATGAATTATTAGCATCCCTAAAAAGATGCGCAAAAATCCTTACACATCCTACACTGAGAAAAACAACATCAATCAGTGGGAGAGAAATCCCATCTTCAAAATGCATACATATTTTTAACAAAATAGTGGAAGAATTATGGATGCCCACAACAATTCCTGTAAAAATACATTTTACTGAATTCCATTTCTAATATTTTATACTGTGGAGTTATCAAAATTAGTGATGCCAATCAGGTTTTTTGTTTAGAGTATTTGGAATTGTATGCAAGAAAAAAGCCACTCGTTCACATTTACCCATAAGTGTTCAAAAAACTAGAAACATGCAAAGCAAAGTTGTAATTATTTTGAAACCAAAATCAAGGACGATGGTTAGGAAGATTAAAAAAAAAAAAAAAAACACACACACAAAACCATCAAGTCTCCATAACAAAACATGTCAACTGACTGTTTAGAGGGGATTCATACACTGGATTTTATAATCTTAAGGTTTTTGTTTTACACATCTTTACTTCAATAAATGCTACCAGTTTAAGCTTGAAGCAAAGAAGAAATTTAGGTTATTTACAGCACTGTGCTAGATTATTATGAGTAAGTCTGTTCACTATAATTAAAGTTAGCATAATTTACATCATGCTGGCGATGATCCCTTAAACACAATGACAGATACTTGACCTTAAGTCATCCATCATTTCTTTGTGTTTGCTTTACAAGACCCCAGGTTTCACAAGTGAATTTGGTCAAGTTTCCATAAAGCTTTTTTAGACCTGAAATGTACTGTGTCACGTGCATGTTCACTTCAAACACTTTGTTAAAGCCACACTCCACAATTTTCTGTAAATGTAGCTGAGAATAAATGAAAAATCATCCAAAGTAGTGACAAAAAGGCCCTTAGAAAGCTGGGAGAACTTTTAATAAGGGTTACTAAAGTGGAATACAGGATAGTGTGGCTCTTTGAAAGCTAAATAAATATATAAATTAAGGATGCACAGATGCATTTCAATACATGCATTTTTAATGCTGTAGAATTAAATATCAAGTGTTTTATATTCTATGTAAACACCATATCTGGAATTTGATTGAAACTTGGACAGGACTCCAACCAGCATTCCGATTGTCTCTTCATATTCAGATCAAAGTTGGAGGAAAAAGAGAAACTGCAGTATATTTGATCAGGGAACCATTTGCTTACTCAGCTTTGCATCGATTTTTCTTGTTCTTCCAAACCTATATTATCTTTAAATATTAATGGAACCTTTACTTTTATAATGCTACAGTTCACTCCCATTCAATCCGCAAATTGTCTGTGCAATATATGAGCATTGTCTGAAACCATCTGCAGGAAAAGAAAATCTATAAAAGGAAGAGCCAGAAGGTGGAAAACTCAAACGCTGCATCGTTTCAGCACAACAAATCCATCAGGAAGGACTGAACCAGGAGGAGATAAGGTCAGGGCTACACTTAACCTCACAATAGCTGTATTCCAGTGCATTAACCTGTCAGTTAACCTATTGAAAAGTATCACAAGTGTGCAATAATGCTCTAATGGAGCTTAATGAAACTTCACACGCATGTAATAGTTTTACAGTATTGTGCTTCTTTAGACGCTCTTCCACAAGTTGAACTGTGGGCCGCTCCATTGTTGTGTTCGCAGAGTAAACAGAGTGAACAGGAATGGATCTGAAGCCCAGAGACTGAAATAATTTGGCTCTAATACATCAGCTTAGTCAACGGTGGAAAGCCCACTTGAGGCTGTTTCCACCCACTGAAGCTTCAACTAATAATACCCCACTGATTGCATTACAGAATTTATCATTTTTAATTATCCACACTGCAAAGGCAGCACACGATTGAAGGCGCCTGCTGCAGCAGACACCCAACTCAGCGGGGGAGCGGCGCAGGCCCAGCCGGTGCCATTATCTCCGATTATACTTACATTCTCTCATACATCACTGCATTGTTTACCATTATGCTTCCTGCAACAGGCTCCAGCATTTTGTTCTGCAGAGCTCCCAAGCTATCGACGGGCCTGCTTTGTAAAGACACACCCCAGGCTGCTCAGGCAGATTGCAGCACCACCTCAGTTACAGGGCTGGAGGTGGAGAGCACACTTCAAAGGAAACGTAAGGTACAGTGGAGAAATACGGAGAGGACGGCGGCATGGGAGGGAAAGTGGCTGCATCCGCTGCTGCATACTAAAGAGAGAGGAGGTGACAGGTGAGGAGGGAGATTGAGAGGTAGATGAGGAGCGAGAGGTAGTGATTTCCTGTCCGGCAGGAAAGTGGATCAGAACCCCGAGGACCTGAAGGAGGGAGGAAGGGAGAGAGCTGGAGAGGGAGGAGGATCGAGGAGGAAATTGAAGTGGAATCAACAGAGTGATGGGGGGGAATTAGCTTACAGATAGATGGATGCTTCCCATGGTCAGCAAGGAAGCCAAAGGAAAGGAAGACAGGAGGAGTGGATGAAAGGAATCTGAATGAGAGAAAGAGTGCGGGTGGGAGTGAACTGAAGTGGGAGGCAATAGGGAGACGGAGAGAGAAGAATGGGTGGGTTATATATAAATGTGTGTGTGCGTGTGTGTGTGTGTGAGCTCAGATCGATACCAAGTGCACTCAATTATCATTCCAGAACAGTGTGTGTGCTTATTGTAGGGAACTTTTCCCTGAGTGGGGCTGCAGGAGTAAAGTCTTCTTCCACAACATCCTCTAATGGGGGGAGCGTGACGGCACACACCACCAGGCTCCCCAATCCCGTTTTCACTCCCTCACAGCGTCTGGGTTTGTAGTGCAAGCAGCGCAAACCGTTAAAGCTGCAGTACATAACTTTTGTCCCAATGTCATGATAGTCTATGAAAAAAATGTTGCTCTCAGTGCTAACTTCAAACAACCAATCAGAATCAGAAGGCGGGTCTTAGCGCTTTCAATCACAATCTCATGTGGCTCATCTTCCTCTTTTCCCCTTTGCGCTCTGTTGTGAATGCTAACTCTAGTCACCATGACCACTGTTGGCGGCGGATAAACGATTTTCCTGGAAAGGCAAGTTGTGTCTCTGCCATTAGCACATTTAACAGCAAATACATGACATTGATTGACAGCGCTAAGACCCTCCTCCTGATTCTCATTAGTTGTTTTTGGTCGGTATCGGTGCATTTTTCAGACAGCAATAGTAGCTCCGGGACGAGGTGGAGGAGATTGATCCTTTCATAGATTATCTGTCTCAAAGTGTCACAACATGGTAAAAGATTCAACAAACATGTAAAAAATATATTATTTGTACAAGTTACATTCTGCAGCTTTAAACAAAGACAGTGAGGTTGATAAAATAATAATGACAAAGAAACTTGAGTGTCAGCAGAGCCTCCTAATCAGGGCTGTTTGATCAAACAGTCGTTTCTAAGCGGGCCATAAAATCCCAAAGGTCCGACTGCGTGTGGCGGAGCAACAAAAACCACATCATCTCAGAGAAGAAGGTGTGGAGGGGAAATAAATAAACTGAAATATAAAGCAGAGTGAGCTCAGATAGAATATCTGCTTTTGCTCTGTGTTTGTCATCCTAGCACAAGCTTGCAGGAGAGTAACTGTAAATGACAGCGTTGTCAAATATCCCAGTGTCCTCTTGGCGGCGAGTTACTTATTCATATATGCACTGTCACACGCTGCAGGCACTTGAGAGCAGCTCAAGAAAAACCTGACAATCACACGACAGTAGAAAGGAGAGCGGAAGACAGGGGGGAGAAAAAGAGGCTCCGCAGAGATGAGGGAACTTGTTTAAGGCAGGATGGAGAGTTGTGGGCCCTCAACGTTCTTGCTATATGGCTCCAAGGAGACGCAAAAGTGTGGCAGATATTTACGATTAAGACATAATCTTCAAAGCAAATGTTAAGAGTTCGTCGTGTGTCTGACTTTACACTGACTACTGATTATCACTATGTTGAAGAAACTATGTTTAAAAAAAACAGGAGAACATTATTTCTGTCAGTTTAGTTTGCCAATAATTAACTGGAACTATTCTGAAATATGTTATGCTAAGCTAACATGAGCTTAGCATGTCAGAAAACTGCTCCGCTTTAAGAATCACAACAATAATCAGTTTGCTTATGATTTGTTTGGCTATTTATTCTAAAATAAAAAGACTGAATCTGTTTCTTCAAAATCAAACATCCAAGCGTGCTTTTTATCACATCATGTAGCATGAGGCGGAGAATTCCTGCTGCAGCTCTTGAGAGCCATCGACATGCAACTTTAACATGCATTCCTGTTTCTAAATCAAATGAACGGCTCATTATCGGGGCTCTGCAGAACTCCATGACAAGCTGAAATCATTTTCATAAAGTTTCAGGCTTGTACTCCATTTGGACTCCCATAACCATCCCAAAATTACTCCAAAACATCCCTATCCCAAACCTATCCTTCCCAGAACACACTTAAATAAGTTTCTTATTTTACTTGCAGCAATAATATTTTAGATTACTTTCATTTCCTAATTAGTAATGTCATTCAGACTCTCTGAGGAAAGCTATTAGTGCTATCTAAAAAGAGTAATTGGAGATAGGTGTGTGGCTTGATTATATGTTACAATGTGTTGCCATACCACCGCCTCGATCTACCTGCGGCTAAATGACAAAGCTGTCACAGCAGCACCTTTGATTTCCCGACTCGGGTGTCTGCGCGCGTCTCCATTTTCAAAGCTGAGTTTTAATTGACAAAAGTGCCTTGAACTCAAATCCCTTGACGTACTTTCGCCCCCCTTTCCCCCCTCATTATCAGCACGCTGCTTCCAGTCGATTACAATACTCCCACGCAACCCTGCAGCCCACCACATCACCGCAGAGTAATCAAACACAACTTGCCCTGGTGGCTTGTTTTCACAAAAGCATACAAGCCACAAAAAAGAAAAAGTCTGATTAATCCACCTCTTGAGGCGATCGAACTCCCACAAGGAAAAGAAGGGGACAAAACCAAAAAACATGGCTGTTACGTAGCAGCTGCGTAAAAACACTGATAACAGCCTGGACCATAATAGGCCCAGTGATTTTTTTATTTGACTCCCAGTGAGCGAAATCAGCAGCTCCTGTCTGTTTCCCCACTGCGAGCAAATCACAGCTCTATTCAGTCCGCAGCGCCGGCATTAGTCCTCCTAACCCAGACTGGGTCATTTCACAGCCGCTGCTTTGATTCTTTGGCCCAGGGCTGCTTGAGACCCCCCCACCCGGAGGGAAATGAAGGAAAGGGCGAGGGCCACAGGATAGAAAGGCGGGCTGAACGCTGAGACAGCAAGAGGATTTTACCAGCTTGAATGCAGTTATTAGAGCTGGAGGGGGCGCAGGGTTTGAATGGCATGTTATTTTGTTGTTGTAATGTTGCTGTGCTGAGTGTGAGGCCAAACTGGAGACGCCTTCGGGAGAATGTGATTATAACAGAGTGCTGCTATGCACCGTCATGTCGGCTGCACCGCCATGCAGGGGAGATGAATATTCCCTTTGACAACACGCTTCCTCATCCCCAATTCTCTCAACAATCGCTGAATGCTGTTGTAATCTCTCCAAATCGTCATGTGATGATGACGGCAAGCCAATCTGTTGCGTTTGTCGTTGCAGAAGGGATGCATATGTAGGAGAGGAGGGAGGTAGGGAGGAGGATGCTGAAGGAGAGGAAGGAAGAAGATGAAGAGGAGGAGGAGGAAACTTGCCTGTCTCTGCTGTGATCCCTCTTTCTTTTTCTTGCCATGTTTGCTGGAGGGGACAAAAGAAAGACAATGTCAGGATGTCGAATCTATCTCTCCCTCCAGTGGTCACAGGGCAGCACTGCCTGCCAGCTATCATGAAGAGACCATCATCTTAATCTACTGGCCTGTCTCAGACTCAGCCCCCAGGTGCCAGATGTGTTAGGATGAGAAGGGAATTTGCAAGCCGATGGATCCATCATCGTCATGATCTTGTGGATTATCCACTCAGAAAATGTCGCCTCACAACTTTTAATCCTGCTACTTTGGACCTATGCTTGCTGTTTTGCAGATTAAATCTAATTGAAAGCTTGTTATCAAATTCCAGTTTCAAAGCTTCATAAAAATAAAAAAAACACAGTAAGGTTGAAACCCATTTTGTAAGGTTATAGTTGTGTAGTGTATAGTTGTTCCCAAAAAAAAAAGACTTTAAACTACTGCGTTGCATGTCTAAACATAAGAAAACGACAGGAATTTTGCGTGATATCAAACCCCGTCACATCTTTATGTTGTCATATAAGGGCTGTCGAATTTCCACAAAATTATCTCAGAAATTTTCTAGAAAAAATCTTGAAAATTTCAGTTTCAAAAGTGAAAATTTTCAACTATTGAAACTCAAAAAATTGGGGTTTAAATGTGAATATATGGGTTATGTCACCAATTTTATTATGAATTAAATGAATAACTAACCTGCAGGGCAAAGATATTGCAATGCTCCAAGAATAACAACAGGTGGTAAAATAATTATTATCTAAATTATTTGTGCAAAGGGGGAGATGGGACTCAGCCTTGCTCAAAGGGCCTTGGCCAGACATGTGTCGGTGCCAGGAATGGGCTCCGGCCTCTGCTCTCGCCCCCTGCAGAGACCCCACAGTCTGGGCACTGACCTGACGCTAAGGCTGAAGACGCGACGCGCCACCAGGAACCTCATTAGGTAGTAGATGACCACAATCAGCACCAGCAGGCCCAGCACCACACCGATGATGGCCCCCGTGATCACACCCGCTTGGATGGGTACTAAGAAGGGAGGAGAGGAGGGGGAAGATGGGATAGAAGGACAGAGAGAATCAGATCAATACAGATAATTTGTGAATAATCAGAGGGAAATATGGATTGCAAATGAAGGAGTTAGGATGCAAAGGAGGAGGAACAAATTAATATATTACATTAGAACAGAGGAGGAAGAAAAGTTGACTAAAAGATGAAAATATTTAAATACAGCAAAAAAAAGGGGGATAGAAGGAGAGAGAGAATATGGAGAAGATGGGAAAAATTGGAGAAAGTGAAAATGAGAAGGCAGACTGTGACAGCAGTCTAAAATAAAGATTGAGATAAAATTGTAATCGATTTCATTTAATGGTGCGACAACTTCTCTGATAAATATTCTCTTGCTTTCGCTGCAATCAATTTCAAAGTTTGGGACGATTACACCAATCCATAAATATTTGCTTTCCAACAGGTCAAAAATTACTGAGAGATAAAACACGAAATAAGCTTTTCAAAAGTTTCCACAGAGGACCTGATCCCTTTCACAACTTGGTTTTGTCACAACCACAAACTTCAACCTATTCAATTGTGATTTCATTAGATAGACCAAGAGCTAAAATGAAAGGCCTGGGTCCAAATCATAGCTTCTTATGTAACCCTCTAAACCACAGAGGTTTCAAGATGACAGTGGTTTGCTTAAATATGACATCATCATTCAAATTGAAGCAGTTTTTATTTGAAAAAAATTGTATCAATAAGTCACCCCAGTTTTTCCTCAATTCCACAAACGTATAAATTTATGCAAAATCAACAAATCTGTGCTAACTCACAACTGTGGGTTTACTGTAAAAATGGTCCAAATCATTAAGTGCAAGTGATGCCAACTCCCACATTACTTCTGTTATAATACTGCATCAGTCTTAATGTCAAATTATGAGACGTGATCAATAAGATGAGTAACAAAAAGTCAAATTTACTGTCACACAAATATTGCAAAGTTTCTTGTAAAAATCTATAAATGAGTACAAAATTAATTATTTTGATTTCAAAAAAATCATAAAAACAGTAATAAAATCCTGGAGGGACTGATCAATATGAAGAGATGTCCAATATTACTTTATTTTAAGAAGTACTTATCTAATGCTCAGACATCAGTTTATTAATATTTTTATAGTTTGTTAATGGGTTTCATCAATATATTCATCAATACGTCCCTATAAGAACATCCATGATCTTGATGTGATCCAAAATGAAAATGAGCTTGATAAGCCTGATAGAGCAAAACAAAGTATAAGGATTTAGATCTGAACTTTATCTGTACCATCTTCATAAACATCATTTGATCTAAAATGTCCCTTAAGAACAGATACGAGTCTGTGGTTGTGATGAGCTCAAAAGGTCTGAATACTGAATGTTTGCAAAGCACTGCGATGGGATCAGAACAGCTGACTCACAGTTCTCAAAGACCAGCAGCCGGACGCTGGAGGGCCGCCCCACAATGTCAGGGGGGTTCTTGGCGTCGCAGGTGAAGGTGCCGTTGTCGCTGAAATCCAAGTTTTTGATCAGGATGGAGCCATCACGACGTTTCGGGTTCCCCACGAACTCCACCCTGTCCTTGAACACGCCTTTGTTGTCAGTGTAGGCCTCACCACCGGCGTAGTGGGCGATCTGGGGATGACAGGGGAGAAAATACTGACCAATAGCACTCAAGAGTACCCGATGGATCTGGATCTCTGGAGTGAAATTAACCAGGAATCATACTATGCTGCTTTAATTACGTTTGCATTTTCTTTTTTATGCATTTAAAAGCTCCACATTCAAACTTTGATATAATAGAAATTTTGAAACTTGTTATTTAACATACTTTTCATATTAAATCCTTGTTTTCATGGTCTGATTTAATATTGTAATTTTAACGGCATTAGCTATCAGAGGAAAATCATAAAGGCTTTCAAAGGTCCATCTATGTGTAGTAATCTACATATTGTGTTTCACTTACTGATAACATTCTGAAATAATTGGACTTTTTAATAATATTCTAATTTGTTAAATGGGTCTACATGAGTCATTGGTATTAGAAAATATCCAGGATTTAAACCATAGACATAATAAAGATCTAGATTTATTATGTCTATGGTTTAAACACTTACGCTTCACAATCCCAAACACAGACGCACACGTTAGAGTGTGTGAGTGTGAATGAGAGAAATTCCTGTAATAGTCAACTTTTTTTTTAACACAAAGTGAGTGCAACCCTTCCTCCACCTGTTGATGTGCACTGCCATCCAGCTGGCTGAAAGAAGGCAATAACAAGTTTCAGTCCGTGAAAATCACTGACAGTAGAAAATATTCACAATTATTAAGATGACTCTATGAAAACTACAGCTGGCAATCAGACAGTATATTTAGCTGTAGCCTTTACTTAAGAAGCTAAGCAATTAAATGTTCCTAATTGCAGCTTATTTTATTTATGATACTCTATTAAACGAGGAACAGCATAAAGGAACAATATTCTGTGAAAATAACCTCTTCAAACATTCAAATTCTTTGCTGAACTCTTGCAAAATCAAAAATATCTTAAAGAACATTGCTTCATTACAGCAGTACAGTGGACTGTTGGTTTTCAGGAGGTTACAAAATCTTTAATATCTGAGAATACTTGTTTGCAATATTTCATACATCAGATATACCTTAAGAAGAATTAATAAAATCATCTTCGCCCCATTAGCAGAAGCTAACATCCATGATCTTGTTAATCTCTGTTCTTGAGGGTTCAGCCAATCTGCAGCAGCAAGAAAACTGCCTCTGAACTTATAAAGCTGCATTTTCTTTCAAATATTTCAGATATACTTCATGAAAAAATGCATGGTGGATTTTCTGCAGTTAATTTAGAGTCACCTCCCAGAAAATCTGTGAATGTTAAACTGTGAATAGTTGGTTCACTGTAATCAATATTACACACTTATTAAGAGCAGTGAGATTAATGATTGCTTTTTAGTTTTCAATAAACAAATAATTGGAATATATAACACATTTAACTTATAACTTAATATATAACTTTTTTCACACATGCTTGTTTCAACAAAAATTTAAAATCTCTGGTTGAAAAACCAAAAACAGAACTGTTTGTTGGGAACTTGGTTTTCCTTTCCATTTCAGTTTCCAATATTTGTAGAATCATTCCTGGACTTGAGATCAATCTGATGCTAAACTTCCAGACTGTTGTGATTGACATCAATGTCTTTCAAATCAATCACCGCACTTTGAAAAGACAAACACAGCATGGAAAAAGAAAGATCTGCGAGACAGGTAGTATTTCAAGATGGGGAAAGAAATGAGTGACAGAAGATAGGATGGTAAATAAAATGAAAACTCAAGTTTCAAAGTGAAGACTCTGCAGGGGGGACAGATGAAGGCGAAGTAGGAGAGGGGAGGACGTAATGAGAGAGGACAGAGGGACAAAGACTGCAGGGCTGGAGAGGAAGAGATTAGGTGAGGTGGACAGAGGGAGGCATGGTCAGGATGGGGAGATAGAGAGATTTGAGAGATAGAGCGATAAGAGCAGGGAGAGAGAAATTAAACTCCAGCAGGCTGCTGCAAGAGAGGCAAAAAGTTTCTTCAACTAATGCATGTTGGAGAAAAATCAAACTCTCATCTCTCTGTTTTTATTTTAAAATCCTTGAAGAAAGAGCCCTTCAGAAAAGCTCGACATTTTTTGCTCCTCTTTGTGCCTGGCAGAGGCAGACAAAACAAAACAGAGCTTTGACAGAAAATGCAATCATTGTTTGCAAGTCTAGATGCCTGTTAATGGTTCTCATTGTGACCAAAATTTGGCCTCAAGTGGTGAGTGGGAAACACACAAGGCTCTTATTTAAGCAGAAAAGAGAAAATGGGAGCACAGGCTCTTTTTTGCGGCTCTCTGTAAGAGTTGTTTTCAGCCAGTAAATGCTCTGTTATTTCGCAAATTGTTGCCATCTTTTGTTTGTCTGCCATTGGCTCGTGGACATGTAGTGCACAGTGATTTATTGGAGCTTCTTTGCTGAAACAGCTGCAGCCATAAACAGCTCTGATGAGCAACTCGCACATCAATGTTTCAAGAAGTTCAGAGTTTTTCTTTTTTTTTTTGATCTCCTGCAAGCACACCTGTGCAGCAGTTGCTGTGGGTTTTGTGTAACATCGTGTGTGTAAATGTAAATGTTTGCATTACAGAGACGGCGTCCCGTGAGCCGTCTGCTCTGTATCTCCAGGTAAAGGAAACATCCTCAGAAACAAAGCGCCAGGAGAAGAAGGTGCAGGACAGTCTGACGTCTGAGCCCACCAGGGCATGGCGCTCCCAGCTGGTGTAAACAGTAATGGCCTGGGATGCCTGGGGTGCTGCAAGACACAAAGGAGATGCAAAAGATTTTATATTTTTTCTTATCAAATCATAGGGGATCTAGTCTAAAAAAATATATCTTATTTTACACACTTTTATACTTCCATTGGATTTCTGAAAACTGCTCAAGTGCTTTAGAAAACACAAAGCCATTTTTCACAGTAAGTTCATGTTTTTTGGTGTATGCAAAATTAGCCGTTTCAAAATTCGCCAGATTCAATGGGCACTCTGTTACCCATCAGCTTGAGTCCCAATATATGTGCAGCCATTGTTTTTGCTGCACAATGGCTGCTGAAAAAGACAAATGTCTAATTGTCGAGTTACTATTTAGAAACCACTTGATGCATTCCTGTTGACTGTGCAGGAGACTCTACTTCTGGTTGTATAATTGCATGTCTGTTTGCAGCCACTGTCACATGTGAGCCGTAAGCTTTGAATTGGGGGCGTGGCCGGCAGCTGCTTATTGGGATTTAAAGTGACAAGACCCCCTAAAACAGTTTGTTCTGAAAAGAGTTCAAAACAGGCAGAACTGACCAGATTAAAATCTCTTCATCAAAGAATGATTTAGTGCAAAAAAAAATTTAAATAACATGTTTTGTATAGGCCAGAGACATATCCTAACTTCTTCAAGGAAGCATAATACATCACCTTTAAGCTGGAAATAAAAAACAAATCTGTTTTTACCAGAGACGTCTACGCAAACAGAACATTTGGTGTTTTGGCTGTTTCTGGTTAATTTGACCAATTACATAAAACACATTCATCAGTTGGATCTTAAATCAGTATTGTGATTCACAAATAATTAAATATGCACTCAGATTGACCAACTGTACATTTGGTGGTGCCTCCATTGATTCACACAAGTAAATGCTGAAATAAGGTTTGAGTTTCTAAAAGTCAAAGGCGATTATAATTTTCTTCATTAATTTGGGTAATGTTGACTTAACTGTCTGCACTGCTTATGCTTGAATAATATTTAATAATCAATGCTAATTTGGTTTTAGCTGAAAAAATAAAACAAAAAATAAGCAAATACTGAATTTCACTCAGCATCTCAAACAACTTGCAAACTTCCAGCCAAGTGTGCCGTTCAACAGTGTTCACTGTGGATGACCCACTGCAGGTCACAGCATCCTCACAGCCGCAGTATATAAGCTCTGAAGTCACACAGAGCGTTCTGCCTGTTTCAACACCCACAGAGTAAAGTTCACAGCTTTCGCTGCGAGCGTCCTCCAGCGATATAAAAAAAAATCCCCCGCACTGCTTGTCAATGAAATCAGACTTGACATTTTTAATTAAAATTCTGACAAAAAACATATATGTCTACAAATAGCAGACAGGAAGGAGTTGGATGGGGAGGAGGGTTGTGTCTGACAGCCAAACCTCAGTTTAAAAGTCATAATATTAATACACCGTTGCTTTGCAAACCTGCTAAGGCGAAGTAACACACATGGATGATGCGAACTAATTTACTACAGTGTAGTGCTTGTAAAAAGGAGCAAATTCTAATGCTGGACAGGCAAGTCTATCAGCATGGTGCCTTTCACACGCTAGCTAGAGTGCTTTTAAGAAACAGATGCAAAGAAAAATATATTGAAATAAAGATTCAGAAAAAAATGCATCACATTAAAAGAAACAGCAAAATGCAAAAAAATAAATAAATAAATACAAATGAATGACAAAATGAATTAATAAAATATGAGATTTATGGGAAAGCTGCAGGAAACAGCAATGTTTTCAGTCTTCATACGAAGGAGCCAACAGTTACCAAATGGTACCAAACCATTTGTGAAGTTTGGTACTTGGAGCACTAAGTGAAGAGGTCTTTAATAACCTCAGGGATCTAGATTGATTATTTTTGTAGAAGCAACTCTGAGATGTATATATATGAAGTGCTGATCAAATTGTAAAAACAATCCGTTTGCAAACAGGAAGCCAGTGCAGAGATTTAAGGACGAGTGGTACACAAACCATTTTCTTAGTGTTGATCAGAATGTGACCTCATCAACAAAACCTTCTGAAAATATAAGCTGTCACCAGCTTTTCTGTTTTAACAGGAAACCTTTTATCAAAGCTGTGTACTTAAGCTGGCAGATCGCTGACACACTGATAGACTAGGATGGTAAAATTTAGCTCAGAGCTCAAAATAACACCCATGTTTCTTGCATCATCTTTCATACTCAAAATTAAAGTGCTTGTCTTTAACCTTGCATTTTTGGACCAAAAACAGTAACTTCTCGAGTTTTTCTCTGCATTAAGATTAAGGACATCCTGGCGTATCTTTTTAATAATTCACCAACTGGGTGACTAAAGAACAGTAGTCACGTGGTGACACTGAATAGCTAGGCTTAGTACCATTAACATATGGTAGTAATCCTTTTTCAAATGCTCTACAACCTAAGATAGCAAGATTACATAGATTTTTAATAAAAAGTGGGCTGAGAATGGAGCCTAGTGGAATGCCTTTTGTAATTATGGTGCATTTTTTCCTCAGATTTGTGACTTTCAAATGACACAAAGTATGGAGAAAGGCTTTCAAGGACATTTTGGAGCAGTTTAGCTCAGTACTTTGCTAATCCCACCCATTATTCCATTCTAGCAGTTTGCTATGATTAACTCTGTGGAGATTTTAATGAACCGCAGTTCAAATCAATGCAACACAATTCCAGAAAGCAACTGGAATGCCTCAGTTAAGCACTAATTCAGTGCAAAGAGAGCTTTAAGTCAGTGCTAAAGCATTTATTCTCCCCTTGTTTTCATCGGGTTCATTAGTTTTCAAGTAAGCAATCAAGAGAAAAGCTTGTCTCATTTAACCTTTGACCTCACATCAATTGCAAAATAATTTCAACACCTTCGCTTTTAACAGGTGAAAATCAGGGCAAGGTTTTTAGACAAATCATCAAAGTAAAATGAGAAAAAGTGAAAAGATTTTGTTTTTCTTTTATTACCTATTCCCAGGAGGACTACTGACGCCAGCGACAAAACTCTCAGCATGGTTCTGGCTTCTGTTGGAGCTCCCCCCCAAAAAATGGACGGACGCTGCGGACCTGGCAGGACTTTGCCGAGGAAAAGTCCCAACTCCACCGGGAGCGTGAGAGAAAGGAGGAGAAAAAGAAGAGAGTGGATGAAGGGAAGCAGGACGCCAGGAGAGACAGGACAACAACAGAAACCCCACTGTCCCCTGGTTTATACCCAACCACACCCCTCATCCCAGCCCGGGCCCGGCCCATTCCTCCTCCCTTCCATCCTCCATCACTCTGCGTCTTCCTCCCTGGAACAAATTAACACACATTATCCGTTGAAGTGGGAGACAAAAAGGCACCTGCGCCGTACAGTAGCTGAATTAATTGTGTGAACAATGGGCGACTTGGGGCGAATTTGCAAACTCTGAGCAGCATTTCAGCATGATGGATGCAACGTGTTAAATTAAACCCTCGTCATCCTGTGATTGAGTGCTGATTAACACTTGCAGTGTAGGTGAGAGGGAAGCATGGCCATCTGCAGTCGATCTGCGTCGCTCGTGATTAAACGTCACAAAGGGAATAATGGGAAGTTGGTTTCTGTTTACTGGGAGGATGAAGGAGATCCTCCGACAGGGTCAGTCTAGTGCTCTCTCCTCCATCTCCATGTCTCACCCCTGTTTCTCCTCTGCGTGCACTTTCACCGGGTCTCAGGCCAGCCGGCCAAACAAAGCCGCGACTCTTAGCTCGCTGTCCTCCCTCTCTTCAGATTCTCGTCCTTCGCTGGCGTCTAGCACTCGGAGACAATGGAGCCTGACTCGTGTTTGCCTGTCTGTCAATGGTGCTTTCTTCATCCCGCTTTCTCTTTCTCTTCAGCCTCCTCCTGCTCAGACAAAGCTGCTTATTCAGATTGCAGTGCCCACTCCTCACTCCTCACAGTAATGCAGACAGAGGAGGAGAGCGGGGAGAGCCCTGCTATATATAGATGGGTTGTTGTGAGGACAGGATGCAAAGATGGGAGAGATTTCAGTTTACATTTTTACTTATTAAAGTGATTGGATGTCATCTTAGTGAGGTTTTATTTGGGAAAATTGGTGGGTTGCTACTTTGATTCCTTCTATCAAGACACTTCGCCCGCCTTGCCTGCTGGCGTTGGACTGGGAGCCTGGAGCTCCAGGGCGGCTGTGGCTACTATGTTGTAGTTTCTATGACAGTGTATTAGTGCCATAGTAGATAGAAAAGAACGACTGAATTTGATTTCAGAACATTTCTAGAAAATTGTAGAAATTTCTGAGTTTGAAAAGTCAAAAATTTCCATTTTATGAAATTTGTGAGTTTTTTCTACAAAATTTCAAATATTAATCAAAATTTTTGTTTTTGTTATTTGGTAGAAAACTACTCCCTTTGTCCACCTAAAATTAATACACCATTTGAAAGGTTGTGAATGTGTGCATGAATAGGTGATAGTAGTGTGAAGTGCTTTGGGATCCTTGACTTGATAAACGCTATACAAGTACATATCCTTTACCATTTTACCTTTTTATAACTTTACCTGCAGAGAGCCGTTGGTTTAATCTGTTTGCTTCTCTGGAACGAACATGTTAATAATCTCAAGGTGGAAAGACCCCATCAGTGACCATTGAGGCTTAGAAGTCGACGCCTGTCAACCTGGGAGGGACTTAAAGGCCATTTCCAAACAATTTGAGCCCATTTCTCTACAGAAAGAAAAAAAAACTATTCACAGGGGGACAACATTTAAGTCAGATGCCAGTCTTCTTAATCATTGACATTGCTGCAAATCCTCCTCAAGGTCAGAACATAAATGTTCAGAGAAATTGTAAAAGCCCCAAGAGTTTCCACTCCAACTCCACAGCACTCCAGCAGAATGTTAAACGCTAAAGTTTGTCTCATAAGAAAACTAGAAAAAGAATAGTTGCAGGGTTTTTGGAGAAGGCCGGTTCTTTATAAAAATACAAAGCCACCATAACATACAGCTGGTTTGAAAAGTTGGATCTGAATAAACCAACAATGTGTCAAATACAGTGGAGGAGGGGTGATGATCTGGGCTCTTCCTGCCACCACTTTCTTCTTCTTGATTATTTATTTGCATGGAGACAAGTGTAATTATGAGCAAATTGTGAACAATATAGCGTTTATAGCCACAGCTATTTTGCAAGCCACATCTCCAGATGGCCTTTCACAACATAAAACAGTTTAAAAGACAGTAAAGCAGCACAGAAAGATAAAACATTTATGATGTACATTTTACAATTACCTTAAAACAGACCACAATGAAACAGGTACCATCATAAAACCATTGTTATGATTCTGGCTGTAAAACATGACGCCTCTTCTTAAAAAAAAAACTCCCTCATGTTTGGGGTCTTGTTTCGAATGTCTGAAGTTTGTACTGAATTTCAAACAACTTTGGTCTTAATCTGAAGATTTGCCAATATGAAATCAGGTTTGAAGTCCTGAGTAAAAATGTGAAACTCAGAATACGGGGACCAAACTGAGTCAGGAATATTAACAAAAAGAAGAGTTGGGAAAAGAGAATCAGTCCTACAGAAAAATACTTCCTCATTTTTGCATCATGCACAACTGTTTTAGGATTGTGGATATTATAGGTTGAAAAAAGAAGCTTTTTAAAATTTTCCAGACACGTAAAAATTAAGCAATAAAAATATATTACACTTCTGCATGGCACCATCATAAAAGTGTTGTCTGTTAGCTGCTAGCATGACTACAGAAAACCTGCAAAAATCACTTTCCCAGTCGTCCTTAAAAGCAGAGAGTGTATGATCCGAGTGAGAGGAGGGGATTTAAATAAAGATGTCCACTCCATCCCCTTCAGCTAATTTTATTCAAGTTCAACATTCAGAGCTAAAACTCAAGGATCTCTTAGGATATAAGCCCTTAGCCAAGACGTTGGTACATCATTAAGCAACAACTCAGTGTAAAACCAAGGCATGCTTTAATTTATGTATGTTTGCCACTTGTGACAAATCCTAACCGCTCGTTCATCTTAACACCTCAAACGGCCTGCTGATGGAGTCAGCCGAACAAAACGGACCATCTGCCAAGTGGTTGGCGGCGTTGACAGTCAAAGCTTTGGCTTGAATGTCTAAATTGCAAAGTCCTTAACAGTTGTAGCAGGCTCTGCCTTGGGGCTCCCGCAGGAACAGGGGGATTCTTTATGAGCCTGGCAGGTGCAGAAAGTGGCTGGGACCCAAACTCGTCAGCAGCCGAATGATGGCGGCGGAGGCTGGGCTTGGCAGGGAGGAACTGTATCACATATAGAGGGAAGGGCCCCCCATTCCTCTATCTGGCAGTGATATAGCACACTAATGTAAGAGAGCGAGAGCGAGAACAAGAGCTTATCTGCTGCTAAATAATACAGAAGAACCAGCAGGCAAGAGACTTGAACTGTGGAGCCTTTTAACTTTCTTCTTTTTTTTTTTTTTTTGCAAAATTATACATGAGTCCTTTTGCTGTGTTTTTTTCTGGTATCAGTGCAAACAAAGCTTCAGATCAGCTGTCAGGATTCGAGGGTTTAACGTCACATTGTGATAAACCTGTGAGGGCGTGTTGTATGACAGCACATTAAAGCTATTGAAGACATAAAAAGAAGGAGTTAATATCCCCCAAACATCTCAGAAATGTTCTGCCTACAAGGAACAATCAAGAAAAATTCTGAGTTTCAAAAGTCACAAATTTGATAGAAAAACTCAGAAAAGATTATGAAAATATAGTCTGCTCAGTTCTGCCTGTTTCAGATGTTTAAGGGGCTTGTCACTTTAAATCCAAATAACTGCTGCTGGTCACACCCCCAACTAAACGTTTACACTCGCGTGTGGAAAATGACTCCAAACAGATCCACATTTATACAACTGTAAATTTTTGAAAAGTAGAAATGGAGCCTCCTGCACAATCAATGAAAATGCAGCAAGTGGCTTCTGGATTATAAGTTAACTGCGAGACTTGTCTTTTACAGCAGCCATTGTACAGCACATATATCGGTAAAACCAGCTGACCAAACGTCAGGTGAGGCGCAGCACCTGCTGATTTGTGACATTACACATTCGGAAAGTTTTTGAAATGGCTCATTTTCCAGACACCGAAAAAGCATAAACTTATTACCAAAAACTGGCTCATTTAAGAAATGGAAGTGCACACATGTGCAATAGGTTTCCTCTGAAGTAGCCAAATCACGCTACAGACTAACATGCTAATGTTAGCATGCTGACGTGTGCAGCTGGACCAGGAAGGCAATTTCTGAACTGGGCTCGCTCGAGGTTTGGCTGAGAGTCAAAACGAAGGGGGGAAAAAAGACGAAACAAAGAGCGACAGAGGAGACGCTCACCACGGAGGCTGGCTCAAACAAAGGTCATAAGACCAATGAGGGGCTAACAATGATCCAATGAAGTGCAGTGTGCAATGTGCCTCTCTGCCCTCCCCTTCTCTGAAACACGAGTCTCTCAGCGTGGGCCTGAGAAGTAAGGAACAACAAGCACTGCCATCATCATAAACCCATCATAAAGCGGTTATGACTAAATCAACAGTTATGCTGCAGGGCCCGAATAATCAAGTGAGACGTTTTCGTACTCAAACAAAGCAAATGAGCCATGCAGAGCAATTGGCCAGAAACCTGTTAAAAGTCAAGGCTGGGAGCCAGGATTAAACATAAATAAAGAAGTGCCATCTAGGTTTCCTAATTGGACACAGGTTGACAACCCACTGAGTAGAGACGGGGAGAAAGGGCTGATGACAAAAATATGACAGAAAAGTGCATCATCTCAGTGCAGCAAACCTGAAACGCAGAGTGTGCCAAGTCGACAGCGGCTGCAGCAAACAGCAGTATCAACTGTGTTTGTGTCAAGTTCTGAAACCTTTGAAGTTGACATCACCTTTAAGAAAATGCAAATAATGGATCCTACAGAAGAAATGATTAATGAGTGGAGGCACCGAATCTCCAAGCTCTGAAGAAAAACAAATTGAATCAACTATTAAACGCAATTAGCAGCGAAGCAATATAACTATTGGCAAAAAGTGGTAGCATAGAGGTGTTCCGACTGACCGAGCTGAAATCAATGGCTAAACAGTAAATAAGATCATGTTGTCTGATGTTAGGGGATAAAGAGTTGAGAAGCTGCCAAGATGATTTTGGAAGAGGGTTTGGCACCCTGGAAAAACAAACAAACAAAAAAAACTGATTTTTTTGTCAGAAT